TTTTGATAAAAAACGAAAGTGAAAAAATGACCAAAAACAAAAGATGCCTATTTATAAACACAATCATCCGTGTACTTAAAACGGGACACACACATGCTTCAATAAAGGTCCTTATAAAAGCATCAATACTAAAACTATTCACCACTGTCACAGTTCTTGCCGTCATATCCAGCAACACATACACATTCATATCCATTGACAAGATCTTTACATATACCGCCATTTTCACATGGGTTTGTAGAACATTCATTGATATCTGTGTAAAGAAAGTTAAGGAACACTCATTAATGTCAATACAATTGGAGTTTGGCTGTTTCATTTTGCTTTTAAGATGGTTTTAACAAATATTTTGGTCATATCACTGCGATCAATCCACCTTATTGTTTTTTAATAACTGTTATAATTTGTTGAGCAAGTGATCAAGTGAGCAAGTGATCAACTACTAATTCTACATTTTCCGAATCTGCATAAAACAATAATGTTGGCGTATTTTCTGTTTTGTTTTGTTCATCAATTTAAATTTTACACGCAATGTCATATATTTTACTAGCTCCTGCAATAAAGTTTAGCTTTATTACATTTTTTTTCTAGTTTCCAGCGCTTGATCTTAGCGAAAAAGAAACAAATATGCTGCAAACTTAGTATCGTTGCTTATTATGTCGAACTTATTACTTTTGTTTTGTTTGAACAAAATAATATTAATGATTTAGTTTAATACAGCTTCATGAATACATGTATATTTACACATGACCTATACTATATCTGTATGAAAATGAATGTATGATACTGATCTAAAACATATACAGTGAGCAATGGCGTACCTCGGCTTATTATGAGTGTACGCCGAGTGCCGGTTTTTGGCCGAATGATCGCCAGAGACTTACATATCAAAGACAGCTATGTGCTATAACTAAGGATTTAGGGGATATTTAAGCGAATTGTACTACTATTGTCTTTATCTATAGTTATGAAAATAACATTAAGTACATATATTGAATGTAAGAGAAATAGCACGAAGTCTAACGTGTACACTGTTTTAAATAATTTAAAAGCTATTTGCTTTTAGAAAAACAAAACATAACCAGGTGTCTCTTTTGTAAAAAAAGATGGGTTTTATTTCCTTTTGTAACAAGTTTAGCTTTTTCTTTGTTAATTTTCTTTTGTTTCACCATACATGTAGCTTAAAGTGAGATATAATCAAGGAAAATATGCGTTAAAAATGATCTTTTTGACTTTAATACAAACACAACAGCTTAAATGTTTAGTGTAACGAAAAGTTACCGTATTCACAGCTAAAATGTAGTATCGCACGATCATTTAGCTTCCTTAAAATATTTTTAATGCGTATTATGTCAATGTTATAGACAATAAATATTGTCCTTAACATTTTTGTTCTCAACTCTAGTCTTTCAATATTTAAGTCATTTCATTACGAAGTTAAATGTTGGTACAAACAGACTCGCCAATTTCTTATCTTAAGTCGGCGAAAATAAAAGAATTTAGACATGATGTGTCTGATATTGTTTTACATTGTTCTCGTTGTATATTTGTCTATGTTTTAAATATGTATAGATGTGACTACGTATAATATAGAATATATGTAGAATGTATATATTGTGATATATTTTGTAAATACTGGTATTCTTTTTTACGGTCAAATAAACAAAAGTTGAATTTGGTTTGTGACGATGGATGTTGGCAATAGTTCACTGCAAAGATCTGATTCACAGTGTCAAAACTATTCTACATACTTTGAAATAAATACAACTTAAAAATTATATACTGATTTATAGTTACAATGTTGAATAAGAAAAAATTACATACAGCTAACTGACCCCCTTCCATTGTGCTGCGAACGCAAAGTTGCAAACATCTTTGAATATACATGTACATGTAGATCTAGATATAAAAAATGAAATAAATGTTTTCTTTTTACTTATCTGATTCTTCTGAAAAATAAAATGATTGTAATATATTGGACAATTTCTTATCCTTTTTGAATTTTGACGAGGTTTATTAGCATTATAACGCTAAACTCAAGCTGGAAAAAGAGAAAATTCTAAAGAAATTGTTTATATCATATTTTTTACTCCCTTTATTCATACTTGAAGTTTATTGTGCATAAAAAGGTAACGCATATTCGAATAAGGTAACATCCTAAGCATACCTGTAGAATCAATTAGCAGCTACGAATATGTTAATGATCTACGCCCAAATAAAGTATTTCATTTTTTTATTTTTTTTTCGAATCGTTTTCTTTTTATAAATCCCGTGCGTATTGGCGCCACTGGTGAGTATTGTAATACGAACGGGAATCAACTGTAACTTGAATACTTTTCTGTGTGTACTTTTATGGAAAGTTATATTCAAATGTTTTTAAAATATCTAGAATTGGTTTGCAAATGCACGTCTTGCCTTTCATGTAAATATGTGTGCATTTATTCAATTGTTAAAAGATCTCTCACTACTCGATTATGCAAAGAAAGGTGATACTATTTTACTTATCAGTAGATCGGTATTTTGATTGGCCTTGACCTAGCATTTAATTAAGGATTTGTTTACAAGTGTGTTCTCTAAAACTCCACAACCGTTAAGGGAGTTCACGTGAAACATTTCGGATCATTAATATATATTACTTTCCTCTAACATGATTTTTCAATGAATCGTACTACTCTGAAATAAGAGGCTTTTCAGCGTGCTGTCTTATTTGCAGCTATTGTTTTAATATATACATGTATACTTAACATGTGGAAATTTATAACCAATTTTGGACTTTTATCACTACGAATTCGCACAAACAAAATATTACATGAATCGTTACATATATAAATGTAATTTGGTGGGTGGGAAAATCAGTGAACATAAATCTGAATTATAGATCTGAATTATGAATAAAATAGTAAAATGAGTGAATAAAAAATATACTTTATGTTGGGAGTTTCAGTTTCTATGATTTTGAGTATATTAATCAATCTTTTCCTATGTTTGTTGTTCGGTGCATAGAAGAAATATTAGTCAGTGACCTACAACTTTGATACAAAATACATGTTAGTATATAAAACTTGAATTTTACCTTCGGTGATGTTTGAGATAGAACTTGTCGACAAAGAAATAACTAAGAATACCTTATTTTACAAAGGGGTAAGGTAAAGTCTAGTACTAGAGTAGTAGGACTTGAAAAGTGACTTACAATAATTTTCAGGTACTTAAGGTTAAGTGATTCTAATACTTTTAGTGATGGATATTAAAAACTGCATAAGATGGTGCTAGAGGCGTAAAAGATGACGTCATCGGAATTTTGAAAAACTACTATTTGATATCAATAAAATAAAGAATAACGGAATCCCTAAAGAACACCATAGAAGCCATCAACAAAAATGTTGATGGCTCGATTTGGCTGAGTCTATTCATCGACGGTAATGGATATTTTCTTTAAAAAGAAGTTAAGTTGTAAGCAAAAATAAATGACATCTTGTGTGCAACATTTTACTTGAAATATAAAAATGTGGAAACAAATATTAGCCAACATTAATAATCTAGAATATTAAGGGATTTAGCGGCTTCCTTTGACTTTCTACGTTTTGCACCGGTCTTGAGCCAAATGAATATTCATTCAGAAAACTGCAGACTCAAACAAACAATTTGGTACATAGAACAGTTGGGTGACATAGACAACTTCGATGTCGTTTTGCACTATGATTTTACGGCACTTTATAGCAATATGTTCCACAAAGCAATGGATACAGATATACTCATTGTAGATTCCAATCAAACTTGCTTATGAGTAAGACAGTTTTTGAAATTATTATGAAAACTTTCTCATATCTTAATTTTAAAATAAATCTTAGGTTGAATATTAAACTATGTTCAGTAAGCGTAAGAACAGATAATGTATAAATAATTTAATCATATATATCATAATATACAGGAAATGCGTGTTGCTAAAATATTTCGCTGTGTGAATTGATCCATAGGATTCCTTGTCAAAAATACATTTGAACCTTCATATTGCCACATTTGTACACATGGAAATACGAAATTTACAGTTAGAACAGTAAAATTGTTAACACGAGAACGGCCGAATTCTTTTATAGTGATCTGTGCAACTTTGACATGAACCTGATTACTGAACATATTTTTACATTCAACCTAACAAAGACTTTAATGTTATATGTTTTGACTGAGTAAAGTATTACCATGTTCACAATTTTTCCCGCCATATCCGTCAACGCATGCACATGTAAAGCCGTCAGTTTCATTGATACAATTACCGTTATTTTGGCATGGGTTGTAGACTTAAACACAATAAATGAATAAATTAAACACAATGAATCAATAAAAAAAACACAATAATAAATAAACAGATGATGGTTTCATAAAATAATAAAATCAATTAAACCAATCGTAAACCAAATTAAATATAAAACTTTATCAAAAGCAAATATAGAATATGATAAACAAAATCAACAAGGAAAGGTGGTCTTCAAGATACTCTCACACTGAAGGGACAAAGTATATAGTTATTTTCCCTTTTACCTATGAATAATGGACATGTCAGACGTATAGTTCCGGAATAAATTGTCACTTTTTATTATGTTGCGTTGTTTACAAAGCAAACAAATATACATATATATATATTTAAATTCGAAAATGGCCTTTAGAAAACAAAATGTGTTAAGTAAGTCTACAAAAAACTTTATCTTCTTCATAAAGATTATAATAATTTAAAATCTTATTATATTTATTACTAACCTGACCAATTATACGGATCAACCAATGACTGACAAGCTAAACATTTAGCAGTAGACATTTTGTTCTCTGGTACACAAACGCCATCGATAAAACAGAAATTAGGCTTAAATGAAAAAGTGCTGTTATTCGTATTTTAAAAAAGGCAAAATGAACAAATAAAGTAAACAGTGATCTCTATTATCATTTCCATGTCCGGTTCCTTGCTTTAATATGTACCTATATATTTGATAAAACTTTGATCGTTTTTGTTAATGAGTCTGTAATAAAAAGCTATTGTAGTAGAATTTCCAACAGTGAAACGCTGGTACAGCGAGTTGTAGTAAAAGAAAAAGTCTTACCTTTATGTGGAAGAATGGGAAGAAAGAGGTAATCTTTGCATCTTGACAAGTTGAGTCGAACACGTAAACGGTTTTATTATTTCCGTATGTAATGCCATTGTTGCTGATTGAAAAATCGTACTTTGTAACAAATACACCTTTAGTTCTAATCGACTTGTCTTGAATGCAGCACACTCCAGTAAATATATCCTCATAACCACCTGAAAAGGTGTGCGTCGAAATGAACTGCCTTTCACCATTGAACGTGATCTGTCACAATATAAAAAGTAAACAGGAAAAATGTTCAGCATGTATTGTACGAAAACAAAAAAAGAAATGTATTGTAAGAAGCCTCTTTACGTACAAAAATTAATCATGGTCAATTTGGAGACCACGTTTTCATACTTAAGAAATAACATCGGTATCAGCGGTGTTTATCGGCTGTCTATCGTATTTGTCGTTTTGATGCGATTAAATTAACCGCCCAGGCCGTTAAATAAACGACAAACACCGCACAGACTGATACTTGTGGATTATTACAAGATAAAATGAAGGCTTAATTCCATTTAATTTAGTTCCGCCCATTGTTTTCTCGTTTAGGGCACACGTATTTTTCAATGGGGGGCCATACGCCGCTTTTCATGGAATGACACTACTGTGTCACATTGAAGGTTCCATGATAACCGCCGTATGAACACATCTGCGGATGTTTCTAAATCCAAAATTTTACTATTTCATGTTTACATGTTGAATTCTGCTTAAGCCGGTGCTAGGGTCGTGGACGGTAACTTGCACTTTCCAGTACCGTCCATGAACAGGCTCAATCAAACAGAGCCTGCAACATTTTCAATTTTGCCGTGTTGGGCTTTCTTTAGGGATCTGTATTTATCTATTTTATCCAAAACATATTTTCTTCAAGCGGATGTTATTTCCGTCTTCGACTTTTGTATAGCGTTATTCTATTTGGCACCCTACTGCCGCTCCGCAGAACATATACATAAAAAAGAACAGCTCCATACACATTCAGTCCTTCATCAGTGTGAATTGGTAGTATAACACCGTTTACGTCTTCTTTGTGTACAGTGACAAAATCACGACATATGTTAGAATAATGAATTATTCAATTTATTACCCAACTGATTAATTAATTATGGGTGATTATTTTAATGTTAATTGTACTGGAATGATATTTTAACTTAATGTATCAATTGCAGATAGGTTATCTCTTCCTGACACATATGACTGTTAGTTTTCATATAACAGCACAATTTGAGACAAAACCTAAACTATTTACCTCAAATATAAATTCCCTATATGTACCTTGGAAATATTGGCCTGGCATATAAAACCCTCCAGAATATTTGAAGATCTGACATGGAAACATAAGCATTCGTCACCATCAGCTAGGTCACATTCTCCGCCACCTTCTATGTCGTCAATTATCAAAGGATCTCTTTCATCTATATCACATTCTGGTCCGTGAAAAAACTCAACACAATCACAATCACCTGTAATATACGTCTGCAATTCATTAAAAAACACAAAATAGTAAAAAATTTACCCATTCTGACAAAAAGCCAGTGATTTCCAATATTTTCAATAATAAATGATTATTATAAATTCCTTCAAACGTTATAAGCTTTATCAGGTACATTTTTGTCAACTACAGCAAGCACGCACGCACTAACATACACATACACACTCTGCATTCACACATTAAGTGTTGCACATGAACATTTATGGGTATATTACTTACTGGTATCTGTGCAAACGCCATTGTTGCTACAATTTCCTGGGCAGGTATTTTTATAAAATTTAACAACCTTTTCAGAGTTTTTTTCAGCGTATGCAGGGTCACGTTCTATGACGTTTTTCACAATGTTATTAATAGATTCTACATGCGCCAAAGCCCATGATGTATCGTTTCCAACCTGAAACAAAAAGTTGGTCAAAAAATGAAATATTAAAAGGTATTATGTAATTACCTTTTCTAAAAATGGAATGATATCCTGTGACGTCAATGCTATCTTCATCTTCAACTAAATAATTATATTAGATATCAACAGAGCTTCCAATTACAAGCGTGCCTTAACACTTAAGCAAGAAGCGCCGCAATGCGACCAAGTTTTGATGTGACCGCAATAAATAGCTCAAAGTGCACTGAATTTATTGAGTAGAAGCTGAAAATTCAATTGCAAGCAAATGGCCTTCACCTTGTTCCAATATATCTAAGTGGCAATCCAAAGCTGTCACACAGCAAGTTTGGTGTCAAAAGGTCAAAGCAAACTCAAGTTATCACGTGCAATTGAATACATTAACCTTAATCACAAACAACTGGGTAGCAATCAAGTTTGGTGTCAATAGGCCAAAGCAAACTCAAATTAATGAGCAGAAAACAAACATCTGAGTAGCAATCCCAAGCTAGCTGCCTCTTGATATAAGCTATCCATACACAAACATGGGTGTCAATAGGCCAAAGCAAACTCAAGTAATTGAGCTAAAACTTAATTTCTATTTTTAGTAACAGTGACCTTGACCTTGATCACAGACACCTTAAAGCAATCCCAAGCTTCATCATGATATAAGCTACCTATACACCAAGTTTGGTGCCAATAGGCTAAAACAGACTCCAGTTATTGACCAGAAACTGAATTTCTATTTTAGTAACAGTGACCTTGACCTTGATCTCAGACACCTGGGTAGCAATCCCAAGCTGCCTTTGGATAAAAGCTATCCGTACACTAAGTTTGGTGTTAATAGGCCATAGCAAACTCAAGTTATTGAGCAGAAACTGAGTTTCTATTTTAGTAATAGTGACATTGACCTTGATCACAGACACCTGGGTAGCAATTCAAAGCTGCCTCTGGATATAAGCTATCCATACACCAAGTTTGGTGTCAATAGGCTGAAACAAACTTAAGTTATTTAGCAGAAACTTAATTTCTATTTTAGTTCCAGTGACATTGACCTTAATCACAGACAGCTGCCTGCCTCTTGACATAACTAACCAAGTTTGGTGCCAATAAGCTAAAGCAAACTAAAGTTATTAGCGAAAATTGAATTTCTAGTTTTAGTAACGGTGACCTTGACCTTGATCACAGACACCTGGGTAGCAATCCCAAGCAATCCCACGCTGGCTCTTGATATTAGTTATCCATACACTAAGTTTGGTGTCAATAAGCAAAAGCAAACTCAAGTTATTGAGTGAAAACCGAATTTCTATTTTTAGTAACAGTGACCTTGACCTTGATCACAGACACCTGGGTAGCTATCTCAAGCTGACCTTTACCTTGATCACAGACACCTGGGTAGCAATCCCAAGCTGCCTCTTGATATAAGCTACCTACATACCAAGTTTTGTGTTAATTAGCCAAAGCAAACTCAAGTCATTAAGGAGAAACTGAATTTCTATTTTTTATAAAAGTGACCTTGACCTTGATCACAAACACCTGGGTAGCAATCCCAAGCTGTCCCTTGATATAAGCTATTCATACACTAAGCTTGGTGTCAATAGGCTAAAGCAAACTCGAGTTATTGAGGGTAAACTGAATTTCTATTTTAGTAACCGTGACCTTGACCTTGATCACAGACATCTGTGTAGCAATCCCATGCTCCCACTTGATATAAGCTACCTACACACCAAGTTTGGTGTCAATAGACAAAAGCAACTTAAAGTTATTGAGCGGAAACCAAAAGTTTACGCCTGCCCGCCCGCCTGCCGGCTTGGGCATTAAAATAATCCGGTTTTCGTTGAAAACCTGGTCAATAAAAGTGCTTGACAATTATATAAGAGATAACAAGAACAGGCCAATTCAGCTGAAAGATATACTGAATAATCAATCTGATAGAATTGGGATTAAGATATGAAATTTCTTTTAGAAATGTCTAAGTGAATGATTAAATATGGTTAAGAAAGTATGTTGTTCTTTAAACTAACTTTTAGATAAGTTCCTTTGAAATTATAAATATTTTGATGGTCCCTACACTTTTAAGTGAAATATTATAAATCCAAATATGTTCCGCTAATTTATTTAAACAGTTAGTGACGGACGGATGAATGATGACAGCATATGATTCGATGTCTTGTTATGAAAATGTTTTAATAACTGATTCGTCAGAAGTCAGAATCAAATAAGAAAATGTTTACACAAATACCTTTTTTGAAAGCAAAAGAACGAAACCTGAACTAAAAATGATAAGCCCAATATTTATAGTGTATAATAGATATTAAAGCAGCACACCTCCATATTTATCCTAATTTTCATGATCTTTTAAAGTATTAAAGTAAAATATTGTAAAGTAACCTAAAAGAAGCAATGTATACATTACAAACAGCACTTACAACCCATGTAGATTATCAAAATGAGATCAAAATATAAAAAAGCCGTTACAGCGTTAGTAACGCAGTAGAAATATGATTATGAATACTAAAAATTCAATCATTTATCGCACATAACAAAAAACTAAAATCTTGAATATGTTTACTTTTTTTAAAATCTCCGTACAATTTTCTTAGATTTAATTTTATTGAAATATTTAGGGTCAACTTGAGGCATTCAGTTTTAAATAAACAAAATTGTGCGATAATGTATAAAATCAAATATGTTCAAAGAAAGACAATTTAATGACGATACTGAAAAAGATACCCGCCTTAACGTAAAAATAACGAAAAAGGTACCAGCCTAAACGTAAAAAACCCACTAGATGTAAAATCAATGATGAGCGGTTTAAGGTTGTAGGTTGGTATATTCGATAATAAAAAGGAATCTTTTAACCAAGAGTGAGTTATCTATCGATAACTTGAAGGATATTAAAGACATATCAAGTGACGGATTTGTTATATCTTCTGATTACATCGATGCATTGTATCTTAGAGGAGATTTTAGATAAGGAAATAAAAATAAGAAACAGAAGGCTGAGACTGTGTATTATACCGATACATTCTTTGAACTTCGTTATTCTTTCCTTTTAATTTGTCTATTTCTAAATATTAAAATGAAATCTTTAGCGATTTCCCTAAAAGGAACCTATGCAAATGCTCGGAGGTCTGTTTGACTGAACCTGTAAATAAAGGGCGGTAGAAATGCAATCTATCAGTCATGCTAAATAGCACAAAAGAAGACTCTGTGTTCCTCAGATGTGTGTCTTGAAGGTTCCATGATAACCGCCGTATGAACACATCTGCGGATGTTCTAAATTCAAAATTTTACCATTTCATGTTTAAATGTTGAATTCTGCTTAAGCCGGTGCTCGGGGGTGTGGACGGTAGTTTGCACTTTACAGTACTGTCCATGAACAGGCTCAATCAAACCGAGCCTGCAACATTTTCAATTATGTTTTGTTGGACTTTCTTAAGGGAATCTTATTTTCTCTATTTTATTGTCTCATACTGTTTTGGTTACACTTTTGTTTGTTTGTGTCCCTTATTGTTTTCTCGTCTACGGTAAGTATCTTCCCTTTGCCCTTAGTTTTATTTCTCAAATATTCACCCCTTCCCCGAATCTCCCATCCCTTCCCCCTGTGCCCTTTGACTTTGTGGGCATATTATTCAATCATTTATTTGTTTTCTTTGAATTCCTTATCAGTTAAAAATTATTTCTTCTCATGTATCATTTAAGAGAGCTCTGCCTTGTACTCTGTCCTCCTGGGCTCCTTGCCACTGGTTCTTGTTGCGAGGTCATGTGGAGGTTGCGTTCATTGAACGCTGCCTTTTCTTATTGATTTTGTTGATCATAGTTAACATTGTTTTTTTTTTGAACGTTAAATGTTGACCTATTTAACTTGTGGTGAGTGTTATATGGTAAGTTCTATTTCAGTCAAGCTTATACGTTTCTTGAAAACATTTCGTGCTTTGGTAACTAATCAAATAGTATGTAGCTTAAAGAAACATACATTATATATCCATCAGCAAGATTAATTTTAATGACACGTAACACATACAATTTCACAAATATAATAATAGTAAAAAAAGAAAACTGGCGAAGTGAAAAAAATCATTTTATATAGGAATAACCAGGTAAATAGTTCTCTCACCATTACATCAAATGTACATTGTTTAATAACTTCATTCGGGTCTTCATTAGCACTGACTTCTGAATATTCTCGCACTGCTAAACTACCAGAAATTTTCTCTTTACACAACGTTTTAGTTGCAGTTTCTGTTATAGAGTTTTTGCTGGTGTCTTTACGCTGAAAGAAATCACAAGAAAATGAATTCCATTGTTAAAAACACTTCATAATCAATCTCTCAGAAAATAATGTTTTTATTATTCGCTCTGACAACATTTCATAAATGGACTTATAAAAAGGGTTTTGACAACATATACAAATCTTTTACTTTCAAGATAAATTTAATTTGGAGTTCAATATCATAACTTTTACCACAAATATTATGTGAAATCGGATTTATATCACATTGTTGTTGCAAATAGTCGTAATATCTATTTTTAATTCATCATTTGTTTTACACCTAAAATGAACTTGTGCACTGTCCTGTTTTTGTTTGGAATCCTCCTGGGGTCCTTGCCACTGGTTCTTGTTACTGGATCGGGTGGGGGTTTCGTTCATTGAACGCCGTCTTTCCTTGTTGAACTTGTTTATCATTATTAATGTAATTTTGCTGTGATTAATGCTTCCGAGGGATCACTTTGTTTCCAGTTATTTTTAATTGTGACAGTATAATCTTGTTGATCTTCATATAAATTTGAATAGTTAGAAGTTAAAAAATCTGAAACTTTATTAATGATAATATACTTATTTTGGACAACTACTTGAACAAATTACCTTGACCCTCATTTTCATTTTCGACGTTCTTTCCGTTGCCATTAATCTAAGTAATCTATTCAATTCTATTTCATCTTCAGAGTTGCCATGTGCACTTCTCTTTCTTCTGCTTGATACGCTACATTTTGTACCAGTTATTGATCTGCTCATTTTACAATTCAAATATTGGGTCGGATAACATGTTGCTTTTGCTACATTTTTTTGACTTGTGCATACACAAAACATCCCATTTTGATCCCTCCAACTATTCAAGGCTCTATTTCCTGTTAGAAACAAGTTGAGTGGCTTTGTTTCGTCAGAAGTTAAACTTAAATGCAAAGTACATTTCAACATATAAAATGGCATACCTCCAGTTTTTAGCAATTGTACAATCATCCATTATTGCAGTTAATTGCTTATTGTTTAACATGCTCTGTCTGCTCAGACTTTATGTAACTTCAGAATAAGGAAAGCTTTAAAAAAATTGCTAAAATAATATGTTCCATTAATCATTTTAGTCGAATCTTTCTTAAAAGATGAAAATAACTTTTTTATACCATAATCAGTAGAAAAACTTAACTAACTGAAAACTGGTTTTTGGTCATCTCTTTACCTCCAGCTTTCTGTAAAGTCAGCAAAGTGACTGTTACGATTTGCATCAGTAATTGCCGAGACAGTTCCATCTCTATGTCGAAAATCATTTGCCGGGTTATTGTCAAACTGTCCACACAATCCCTCAATGTTATACAAGTCTTTAGGTGCCATCGTTATGTCTATGTTCATTGTTCCTTCGTATCTTCCCTCGTATTCATTTTGAAAAAGTCTTATTGTTATTTTAGTTCCAATCGGTGTAAAGACCTTAAATAAAAAAGAGGGCCAAGATGGCCCTAGATCGCTTACCTGACCAATCGAACTCATTCGAAGAATTACCAAGACAAGCATTCTGACCTAGTTTCATGACAGGTGAGTCAAAAATGTGACCACTATAGTGTTAACATGGATTATCCATATTTGAGCAGTTTGACCTAGTTTTTGACCCCATGTGACCCAAATCAAACTTTCAGACCAATTTCCAGGATACTTGAATCAAAACAGTAGCCACTAGGGTGTTAACAAGATTTTTCTATTTTTAGCACCTCCTGTAACCTACTTTTTTATCCGAGATGATCCATGTTCGAATTCATCCGAACAATTACCTAGACAAGCATTCTGATCAAGTTTGATGATAATTGAGTCAAAAATGTGACCACTAGAGTGTTAACAAGGTTTTTCCATATTTGGGCGGTGTGACCTTGTTTTTAACCCAAGGTAACCCATATTTAAACTTGATCTAGAAATCACCAAAACAACTTTCAGACCAATTTACAGGATATTTGGATCGAAACATTAGTCACTAGAGTGTTAAAAAGATTTTTCTATTTCTAGCTACTGTGACCTAGTTTTTCATCCGTAATAACCCATGTTCGAACTTGACATAGAAATAATCAAAACAACTTCCAGACCAATTTACAGGATATTTGGATCGAAACATTAGCCACTAGAGTGTCCACTGAGTTTTTTTTTTGACATGACGGACTGGAAATATTTTTTTGAGATTATTACTCCATTTGATGTAGATATATACTAATAACTTATGTGCAAAATTTCAGATCATTAGCTAGCTCCATTTTTCCAGAATAATTATTAAGTGAAAAAGTGAAAAATGACCCAAAATTGAAAAGCGTTTAAACGCCTTTACTCAAATCGGACTGAGAATAGCACAAAAATATGATTTTCAATGTATTTCTTCTATGTTTGGTTATATTTTATTAATATTTATGTTTTAAGTGCTAATGTTTATCTATGTGAAAAAATAAACTTTCATGTTTTTAGGCTTATAAACCTCAGTGGAGTTCCTTTAACAAGATTTTTAGCTACTGTGACCTAGTTTTTCATTCGAGATGACCCATGTTCAAACTTATCCGAGCAATCACCTAGACAAGCATCCTGAGCAAGATTGATGATGATTGAGTTAAAAATGTGACCATTAGAGTTTTAACAAGGATTTTCAATATTTGGGCGATGTGACCTTGTTTTTAACCCAAGGTTACCCATATTCAAACTGGATCTAGAAAACATCAAAACAAACTTTCAAACCAATTTTCAGGATATTTGGATTAAAACAGCCACTAGAGTGTTAACAAGATTTTTCTATTTTTAGCTCCTGTGACCTAGTTTTTCATCCGAGATGACCCATGTTAAAACTCATCGAAGAAATTACCTAGACAAGCATCCTGACCAAAATATGATAAACAAGATCAACAAGGAAAGGCGGCGTTCAATGAACGCAACCCAAGTTTGATGATAATTGAGTCAAAAATGTGACCACTAGAGTGTTAACAAGGATTTTCTATTTTTGGCTCCTGTGATCTTGTTTTTCATCCGAATTGACCCATGTTCGAACTCATTCGAGCAATTACCTAGACAAGTATCTTGACCAAGTTTAATAATGATTGAGTCAAAAATGTGACCACTAGAGTGTTAACAAGGATTTTCTACTTTTGGCTCCTCTGTCTAAGTTTTTCATTCAAGATAACCCATGTTCAAACTCATCTTAGCTATTACCTAGATAAGCATCCTGAGAAATTTTAATGATGATTGAGGCAAAAATGTGACCGCTAGAGTGTTAACGAACACGCGTAGACGGACGATGGACATTCAACGATCCTAAAAGCTCACCCTGAGGTAGCTTAGGTGAGCTCAAAAGACATCAAATAATCTATTTATTTGTTTATTATTTTGCAAAATCGGACCATCAACAAGAATGCTATAAAAACGCAATATTCAAATAATGTATATACATTTTATAATATAATGACATATAATCAGTTCAATAAAAACAAACGCTTTTCTTTAAGCTTTCGACATTTAGTCTTCTTCAGAAAAAAATGACGTTTATAAATATAATGACAAAATATTAAAGAAGAGAATATAAATCGAATGTTCGTCTTCAATGTTTTCGAATAGCTTAAACATATTCATTGCATGTAATATATTATCAAATTACAACATGCAAATATATGATCACATTTTATATTATATATCAAAACAATTAATTGAAACATTTCACTTGTGAATATAGAATTATTATACTTTATTATATGAAGCTCGAGTTTCGAAAAACACATAACTGGATCAATTATAGAATTGTAAACTTCTGAAGCCGAGCACTTAAAATTTTATTAGAACACTACTTTTTTACACAGAAAACCCTTAATACTAACGTGTTTATAAAATAATTCTAATTCATTCATTGAAATTTGTTTGTTACAACTTATGTACTTCAAAATTTCAGAACATAAGTTGTTATTTTTTCAAATATATTTTGTTTCTAAATCAAGATCAAAGTCTTATTGGATTTATCTGTTAAGTTAACATTATGTATTCTGAAAACCATTTTGAACTATTAAGCTTGAATTTTTTTTTCATAAATCGCACAAAAGTATATATAATTTCTGCATTTAAAACAGCATCATTTTTATGACTGACCCATGTTTTAAGTACCCTTATCATCTATGTTACATTGCATTTTCAACGGGGATATAACTCGACTAAGTTTCCGTTCTGTTTGCATATTATTTCGAATGTTTCTACTTGGTCATTAAAAGGTGTTGGTATTTACAAAGTGTTTGCCTATATACTATCTTAAAGGATATAAATTAATTGAACTCTAGTGGTTTTGTTTTTGTAGTCACTGTGTCATCGGAAAGAAGAGTGGAAAGATTAGCATAGATAATAATCAGTCTCTGCTTTTCTTTGATGATTGTACTGGTCTGTAAATAACAGCCGATGTTCAGGGACTGTATTTTTCTGTTTTGTGAATGTCCAATTTTTCTTGTTAATCCAAAATTGGCTTTTCTTTTTACAGTACAGATCTCTTCTCCTTTTTGATATTATTTTCAGATACGTGCTTTATATCAATGCGTATGTGTTTAAGGCAACGTACAGCTACAATATCTTAATTTCAGTGTTATCAACATAATATTAAATAAGTGACAAAAACTTGACACACATTTTTATAAATGCAATATGTATTTTTATAATAGCAAATGTAAAATTGTAATATAAAATAGCTGCAATTTCCATATATTAGTCTTTAATATAGGAGAATCTTCATTTCCATAAAAGTGTTTATAACACAATACTTACAGTGTACGTGTAATCGTTAATCCTTATTACTTGCAAAATCCCCCCGTCTTCGCATTTTGTAAAACCTAGATAGTTGATACTGCCACATCTATTTATCATGAATACATCTTTTCCAGCTCTTATCGCAACTCCACAGGCGCATGTTGCATGCTGGTTATTACATGTCTTAGTTTGTTCTTGAACCTACCAATACAAGTTATCTCAGCCATTACTTTTAGCTGGATTAAAATCGTTTAACGTGTATATTAACCTGGCAATATTTATATATAACCTTCCATGATCAAAATATTTAACATAAAAAGAACTCGCATGTCAGTCACCAACTCACTTTTGAAAATAACTGATATGAATAGTAAACAGAAAATCGAAAGGAAGATATGAGGCATTTACGACAATAACCAGCTTTCTAATAATTAATAAACTTATTTTTACCCTAAATGATTATTTAACCTGGTATTTCAAAAAGCAGAGATGAAGAAAAAACGGTTTATTGCAATCCGCAATAGCAAACAGACATGTACATGATGTACGCAAAAGTTTAAATAAGCTCCTGATGTAACCGGTTTGCTTTTAAACAATGTTTTTCTGAAATGAATCATGATACCACTTCTTGTAGTCTTCATTTGGCAGAGTTGTCAAGAAATATTTTTAAAGACGGTTTGTTTTAAATATTAGGCTAACATCTTTGGCTTTCTCACACAGAAAAAAGAGTGTTTTCAAAGTTTTGAGATAGCCAAGCATGCATTTAGGCAGTCATTTTGGAAAACAGCTTCTTTCTTGGTTACCCCTAATTACATGTTAGTCTTTTGTGAGGCAAAAGGACTGCTTTTTCACACAGTATATCTAGGAAGAGAAGTATTGTTATCAAAGAGCTGTCAATAGGACATCAACGCTCGACTATTCTTAGTGCTTGATAGTAAAAGAGCCTTGATAATGTAAAACAAAAATAAAAAGGGCAAAATGTTTCTTTAAATCCATCTTATAGTCATAGGCTTTGGAGATAGTCCTATTATGCTCTCAAAGGAGGATATAAAATTTAAACGTTTCAAATCCAGATATCAATAGAATATGAAAATATCTGAGGTGGAATGCAAACCTAAATGTAGATTATAAGTTAAAGAAGGGGCATTATTCCGTCAAAATGCTTTTTAGAGTTACCTCCTCCTATCTACAGGTTGGGGTCATGATGGTAAACAAGTGTGCAAAGTTTCAAAGCCATATGTTAATGGACTTTGAAAATTTAGGTGTTATAAAAAATATTAACGTAAATTCTAAGTTGAATTCCCTATCCGTTACAAATTATTTCCTATTATTCAATCATTTATTTGTTTTCTTTGAATTCCTTATCAGTTACAAATGATTTATCATTTTAGTGATTAGCCCGTCCGTGCTCTACCCTGTCCTGTTTTTGTTTGGGGTCCGTATGGGCTCTTTGCCGCTGGTTCTTGTTGCTAGGTCGTGCGGGGGTTGCTTTCATTGAGCGCCACCTTTCCTTGTTGATATTGTTTATCATATTTTTTAAAAATATTTGAGGTATTACAAAAACTTTTACATAAAATCCAAGGTGAAAAAGGGGCATTTTTCTGTCAAACTACTTGAAACAGTTACCCCCTCCTGTCTATAGGCTGGGGCCATGATGATGAACAAGTGTGCAAAGTTTCAAAGCCATACGTCAATGGACTTTGAAAATATTTGAGATATTACAAAAACTTTAACATAAGTGGTTACGCCCGTACAAACGCCGACGCCGACGCTCGGGTGACTACAATAGCTCTACTTATTATTATCGAATAGTCGAGCTAAATAACATTGTTCAAGTACTAAAAGAAATACCTCGATTCCATATATCGTGTTATGATATAACATAAACACATCCGGATAAAGCTGGGCGTTTTTTCGCTGTTGTTCGTAATTTCTGTAAATAGAATAATATCTCGGAGACATATTAAATATACAAGTTAAGAACTCATAGTTAATTTTTTTTAATTATACAAAACAATTAATGACTAAGATAAATAATACAGGCTTTTAAGTACCCAATTTGCTTTTTGTGCAAAATAATAATAACAATCCGATCAGATGTTAAATACATATTTAAGAATTGGAATTTACAAACACTACTGTGTAGTAATTAAAACGCATTTTACACAGAGTGAAAAACGATTTGATGAAATACAATAAATGATCGTGATTTGTGTGAACATAGAAATATTGTTACATATCAACTGGGTGTTTAGGTCAACGTAAACATCTTACAATTAATTATGTCATATGGTAAACAAAGAGAATTTTATCATAATAAATGGCATAGTCATTTTCATGTGTTAAATGTAACTCTTTCTTGTATCATTGTTGTTTTCTTCATCTGTTTACCATTTTTTTCTTTAACACTTTTTTTTAAATTTAATTCCTTCAACACTGTATTTTAATTAAAATGAACACTACAAAATTTAAGATAGAAACGAACAAACTAACACGCCGTCTGCTGATCTCATATGTGGATCTATGTGAGAGTAACATATCTTGTTTTTGTATTCTCCATTGTCAGAAACGATAACCTAAAAAAAGATATTACGTATGAAATACGCAATTATTTCATGGTTACTGAATATAAATTTTGAATATTCAATATCCTGTTTGCTTGATTGAAAATTCCTTCGTAAAATCGAACAAAGTATGACAAAAGTTCCAACATACAAAAAACACTTATCTTATATGTGTTTAAACATTGTCTACAGTCTGTATCCCCAAATGTTTACACATACTTTTTAATCAAATTATCTAACTTAGTGTCCTTTCACTAGGCCTTTTTTAATTTCTTTTCAAAAAGACAATAATATATTTATAATCCCCCCGTTGACTTGTGTTGTAATTTGACATGGGGTACATTTCAAAATAACGGCACCCATACTGACGTCTCACAAAAAGCATGACCATCATAATAAAGTATATTATTTTCATTAACTTACAGGTCTACATTCATTTTAATTCGATAGCTCATAATTTGCAACTGGAATTGGATAAGAGAGACTACGGTTAAACATATCTTAAGAAGAGCAGTCGAGACAGTAATATGTGACTTTCCAAGGGAACTTTCAAAGGGCCTTCATCAAAAGGTCACATATGACGGGGAGATTATCTATATACAGTCGCAATTTTTTTTAAATATGAAAACCTTCAATATATCATAGTGACTTACATTCATAATTGTTTTAATTGAAAATATCTTATCAATTGTCATTAAACAGACTTAATAGGGTTGCGTTCATTGAACGCCGTCTTTCCTTGTTGATCTTGTTTATCATATTTTAAAGTAAATGAATGAAACAACATAAGATTGCCAGTATAAACAAATATATTTTGTATTAGATCTATATTTAATCATTCTGGCACATTGCATTTGATGCTAAGTCACATATTAATATCAAAAGTTTTCTCCCGGAATAAAAGGTATTCAGGCGTCAAAATTTTCCATAGAATTTATGCAGCTATAGAAATAAATGAACAAAGATACCTAAATAATCATCTATGAAAGTTAAAAATGCCCAAGTCATTATGTACAAATAACCTAAATTTGTTAACATACCGATTGCATAATGCTTAGCATGTTTGGCAGTAGGGAGTAAACGTTACGCCACTTGTGACTTGTATACATCTTAACCGTGTAACTGACAGAGTTGAAATTGAATACAGTTTGTTTGAAGAATACTGACTACTTGATAATATTTTGATAGAAAAGTCAAAGGGTCGCACAGACAGTATCGATTGTAATTTTGCAGTCCTGTTGAGTTGATCTCGTTTATCATGTATTATATTACATAAAAACTACAATCATATGATAAGAAACATGTATTAACAGATAAAATCACTCAAATAAGGACCATTGTTTCACGATTTTATATGCATTACACGGGGCCCTATTAAAATTGGCCCTGTTATTTCCTTATCAAAACTGTCAAGTGCTATAACACTCGCACCTTAGTGGATAGGAAACTTTGTTCTATGTACAAAAACAAATAAACGTATAATTGTCAAATCAAAAGTATATTTTATAATAGGAAGGCGACAATGCACCATTTTTCGTTCATAAACATTTGCATAAATTATCTGACCTTATTCCCTCGACTTGCTGACAGGTCATATAAATGCACTCCTTGTATATGCAGATGTTGGAGCACAATTAAGCGCATTATCCAAGAGCGATAAGTGATCACATGTGCCGCCTCATGAAAGTCATTGGCATGTTGCAGCTACTGTGTAGCAGGAAACACTAATTAATTAACATGGCAAAAGCCCATTTTTATTCAAAGGCGATAACACAAAATTATTCAATTGGAAAACTCATTTAATATATGGAAGTATAAGGGGGTATCTATCAATCCTGTAAAGTTTCATTAAAATTGCACTAGTAATAAAAGATAGGTAGTCCGAAACAAAACTGAACAAAAGGGCCATGATGGCCCTGAGTCGCTTACCAGAAACAACTGCTTTTCAGAGTTGGAAATTATCCATTGTCAATATTTTCTGATATTTAATTTGACCATAAAATATGATTTAACAATATTTTGAATAAATGCCATGACCTGGGGCATTTAAGCTTTAGCTTAAACGGCGCCAATCAAATTAATATGAGCAAACTTGATAAAAGACTACCTAATAATGCTACAAAGTTTGGTGATCATCTATCAATTATTTCAGTAGGAAAGGTTTTCATATTTTTCGCTTTAGTGGCCCCTAAAAAAGAGGCCAATCAAATTAATATGAGCAAACTTGATAAAAGCGTACCTAAGAATGCTACAGACAAAGTTTGGTGATCATCCATCAATTAGTTCTGTAGACAGGGAGTTTTAAAGGCATTTCTATTTTTAGCTTTAGCGGCCCCTAAAAGAAGCCAATCAAATTAATATGATCAAAATTGATAAAAGACTACACAAGAATGCTACAGACGAGATTTGGAGATAATTTATCGATTATTTCTACAGAAGAAGATGTTTAAAGGTTTTTTCTATATTTAGCTCTAGAGACCCCTAAAAGGGGCCAATCAAATTAATATGACCAATCTTGATGAAAGACTACCCAAGAATGCTACAGACAAAGTTTGGTGATCATCCATCAATTAGTTCTGTAGAAATAAATGTTTAAAGGTATTTCTATTTTTAGCTTTAGCTGCCCCTTAAAAGAGCCAATCACATTAATATGAGCAAAGTTGATATCAGACTACCCAAGAATGCTACAGACAAAGTTTGGTGATCTTCCATCCATTAGTTCTGTACAAGAATATGTCTAAAGGTTTTTCTATTTTTAGCCCTAGAGACCTCTAAAAGGAGCCAATCAAATTCATATGAGCAAATGTGATAAAAGACTACTCAAGAATGTTACAGACAAAGTTTAGTGATCATCCATCAATTAGTTCTTTAGATATAGATGTTTAAATACCAATAACATGCACAGCAAGACATACTACTGATCATTCCTGTAAAGTTATGATGAAATTGCACCATTAGTTCTGTGGAATAGTCCGGACAAGCTTCTGTTTAACAGGCAACACAAAATACACCTTTTTTCCAAGAGTCGTAACTTTGCAAATTCATTGAAGCAAAGATCCGTGTAATATGTGCAAGTTCTTGAGCTTCAAATCAATCCTGTAAAGTTTAAATGAAATTGCACTAGTCGTATAAGAAGAGGAGTCCGGACAAACTTTAACACGACATGCCCATTGGCAGAATGTCGAGCCCGCTTGTCTTAATTTAAACCTGAACGTTCATCTTCAGAACAAAGAGAAAGATTTATACATACCCGGTAGGTGAGAACTGTGCAACACATTCTCTTTATACCCAAGGCGAAATCTTGACATTCCGTCATCTTAGGTGACATGACCACAGACTCGATGTGTTCATGTGCATGTCAAGAAGTCTCACGATGAGCATATGTGCCTAAAAATTCGATTCATGTTATCTGAAAATTCCTTTATGCAGAATGAAGTTATGGCATGGACAAGTTTGAAGCACGCACGTACACGCAAACACTCAACAGCCATTTTCTATGTCGAGCTCAGCGCAAGCGAGCTTGACAAAAATCCTCTTACCACTAAGCTTAATACTTCAAAGCAAAAGCTAGATACAGTGCTGACAACCAAATTTTGATATTTCTATTTGAACTTTGACCTCTTGTGACCTTGACATTTATTTTGCGCAAGACAATTCAACTCACCATAGAGTATCTGTGCTAAGTTCATTAAAATCCATCAATGTATATAGAAAGTATACTTACAAATGAATGTTTTAATGTGTTATTTGACCTTTACGCAAGACTTTAACCTTTGCAACAGACACCTGTATTTTTCGCATGAAACTCCGCCTTATAATGGAAAACACTTGTGCGGCGTTATTTTGAAAATCGCCAAGCTCGTAGAAGTAACACTCCCGGACTCGGGTTTTGGGGCCTCAGTGCATCCTTGACCTTTGAGCGGCGGACATGGGTTTTGCGTGTGACACACCACCCCAAGATGGTGAACATTTGTATCAAACTATTTTGTAATCCTTCAAAGAATAACCAAGATATAGACAGGGAAAATCAGACGACGCACTGACTGACTGACAACGACCAAATCGTAAAAAGTGAAAAATGGCGATTTAGTCGAACACGCCATAAGCGGGCTCGACAATTTAAAAATCATCTGACCACTAAGCATAATACTTCAAAGCTTTACAGAACCAACAAACACATTTTAATATTTTTATTTGACCTTTGACCTAATGTCACTAATATTTTTTTGACCTTTGACCTATTGCGACTTTGACACCTGAATTATTTGCGCAACACACCGCCTCACTATGAAATACATTTGTACCGTGTTATATCAAAATCCTTCCATCATGTGGAAGTTACGTTTCGGAGACAGGTTTTGCGCTGACCCAAAGTGTCACCTTTGAGCGACGGACTGGGTTTGTTAGCAACACACAATCCCATCATTGTGAACATTTGTGCCAAATTACATTGTAATTCTTCAAAGAATAAGGAAGATATAGACCGGACAAAACCGGACGCACGGACGGACGAACAAACACTGAACTATACGCGAAAATTGCGACTTAGTCATTAAAGGGACATAACTCTGACAAAAATGATTGAACCTTAAAATACCGATAATATACACAACTAGTCCTAGTACTTATTATAACTGTAAAAATTGTATTAAATTGCACCTGTAGTTTTTGAGAAGTAGTCAGGACACGTTTCTGTGTATCTGGCAACACAAAAAAACACATTTTTATACAAGGATCATAACTCAACAAAACATTATTTAACCAAAAAACCCGTGCAATATGTGCAAGTACTTGGGCTACTTACAGATCAATCCTGTATAAGATGGTAAACAAGATCAACAAGGAAAGGCGGCGTTCAATGAACGCAAATTTCATTGAAATTGCATAAGTGGTTTAAGAGGAGTATTTCGGAAAAAGTTAAAAAAATAAATTCATTAAAAGACAATAATTCTTGACAAAATTATTGAAACGGAAAGTGCCGACGATATACACAACTTGACTTGGTACTGATCACTCCCGTAAAGTTTATATGAAATTGCACCAGTAGTTTCTGAAGAGTAGTCAAGAAAGTATTTTGACGGACGGACAGACAGACAACAGAGAAGTGATCCCTCTATGAAGCGGCGACACAAAAAAGAAATTTTAAACATTTAGATCTTCAGAAAATAAGTTTTGTTGAAATAATGATCTAAATTAAATTGATATAAGTACCGTAATTAGTGGAAAATTATAATTTCTCCATATGGCATGTCCCATGTTGTCAGGAAATTGTAATAACAGGTTAAATACTCGTTTATCACCATAGTTCATGTCGGTTGTTACTATAGAGAAGTCAAATACTGTATTCGGGTTCCAAGTCCATCCTTTTTTTAGCGTCTGAAGATGAAACATGAACAATTGTACTTCAATTTATGATCAGAGGCATGAAAGAAAAAAATACACAGCAAAAGGTAAGAATAACCAATTAATATCGTTACGTCAAACAATATATTTTCTTAATGGTCAAATGAAAGCATTTGTTTATCAACCTTTTGAATTTTTATAAAAATATAAAATATCATATCAATAGATTTGTTTAATTAGAAAAAAAGGTATTGTGTTCTTATTTAGTTTCTTTTCACTACATTAATATACACCTGGGAATAAATTAAGTACACCCGACATTTTGCCTTAATTTTGACATGACTACAACTGAAATATTAATTTTATTTGGGCAATGGTACGCACCACCTGCAGTCACTCTGTAACAACTGGAACAAGCTCTGCACCAAGAATGGCGAATATACATCAAAATCGAATTAGATGCCTCACTGGTTATATGAGAAGAAGGGTTGATGCCATCATCCGGGCACGTGGCAGTTACATACGTTATCAAAAATTTAGCTATGTAATTGTCAACATTTACCAAAAATATCCACCAGTAAATGTTTTGAAAAAGCTAAAAACATATTAATAAACACTTACAGTTTTGGTAAAAAAGAACACCTTTGCTTATAGTTCGATAATTTGGTAATGAGTGGACTAAACTCATAAATTTACTGGTTTATAATTACTAAATTGGTATCGCTTTTTATCAAATCACTATTTCTTACCTCAATTTAGTCGTCATCTCATGACAGTGCTTGCAGTCACAACCAATTTAAAATTTCCGGGATGTGCATAACATATTTCTATGTGTATATATACTTTATACGTACTTGTAAACCATTTGAGCATCGTTGGTTAATCGGGTTTGCTACATTAGCGACACCCGCTGTGCATTGAAATCCTTCATTTTCATAATTAAATATTTGAAAGTTTTCAATACAATCATCGCCAGGTGGTTCCTTATATCTGCATCCTATTGGCATGGTTGATGTCATTTGAAGTACTGCTGTACTCCCTTTATCAATGTATATAGTTGTACTTGGTATCTGTATCATTACACAAAATATCTTTAGGTTATTAATTCTTTGTATCGACTTTATATAAAGAAATATTTGAAATATAATAACATGTATACAAGGTTTTTAAGAGCATCACAATTATGGCAAAGTACATATCGTTCAGATTTTCTTACGTTATACCTTTTCAGGTCTCAAATGAAAAGTATATAAATCAATATTTCTATCGTACTTAGAAAGACGTACTTTTATCTCCTTAATTAATTGTTGTCGTTATTGCTTTAAATTCTTTTATTCTGTTACAATGTTATTGTTCTTGGCTACCAACCTTTCAAATTAAATAATTTCTTGAATCGAAGTGATGAAATGTTTGTCGCAGATAATTGTATCAACAGTGTGACAAGGTGCTGTGAGCATATGCATTTGGCAGAACATTCTGCTTTACGGAAATGACAGAAATAGTAGTGCGCGAGTTCAACAAGGCTTAAGCGAAAGATACATTATCAGATATAGTGTCTCTGAATGTCAATCCATCGCGTCTTTAGTCACATCATTTAAAGGATCGACTCTGTTGTCACCAATGAGTGAATTAGCTTCAAACTCATCCAGTTAAGTTCTTTTAACAATGTACAGAGGGAAATATACAACTCATTCTTAACATCATCAAATTTCCGAAACAAGTGATCCCTCAGAAGCATTAATCACAACAAAATTACAAGAGAACTGCAGACTCGGTTATAAATATATGAAGAAATATATATATATATATATATATATATGTATAACGTGTTTGCGCTGAAAAAGATTAATTGGAATAAGTCGCCGACGAAATTTGTGGAAATTTGGCTAACATGATAAATTATGTGTATTGTAAAGGTATTTTTGATCATAAGTCTGCCTTACTTATAAAAAAACCCCAAAAACTTCTCAACCATCGCACGGCAGCTTTAACGAAAACAAGAGTTTATAGCTTTGCAAGGTCAACAAAAATGAACAACATTCAATTAACGCATCCTAGCAGTAAACCGGATGTGCAATGTTCATTTAATTTTGTTGCGGTTTATGTTTCCGAGGGATCACCTTTCTTCAGATATTTATCACAATATCAACTTCACGCCGCCTTTCCTTGTTGATCGTGTTTACCACATTTTACTTGTTTTGAAAACAGGACACAAAGTGATCCCTCGGGAGCATGTATCACAGCAGACTCGGTTTGATTGAATCTATACATGAGGGATAATGAATAAGTTCAACATCTTTCACGCCCCCTAACACCGGCTTGAGCGGTACTCAATTCTCTACACTTAATAGTGCTGGCATCAATGATCCCGAAAAACCAGAAACATATAACAACATTGAAGTAAAGTAAGGGGCTACTTTTTCCAGCTGCCACACGGCATGTGCCACCTGCTGTCGTAAAGTATAAAAATCTGGAAACAAAGTGATTCTCTCGGAAGCATTAATCACAACAAAATTACATGAAGATTGCAGACTCGGTTTGATTGAGTCTGTTCTTGTAGTGCAGGAATTAGTTAACGTATAAGAAACGCTTGAATCATGATATATTAAATAATCGGAGAAAAATAGAAAACAGAAAAAATCAATTAGATTATATTTGAAAAAAGAATTAGAATTTTATTGTTTTGCTTAATTCTAAAAACTAGATAAATTTTGTTTGGGAGTCTGAGTAGGAGCATTTAGAAAAACAAGACTTTATCACGTTTTCAGGACTAAACTATGCTGTAAAACTTTTAATGTTTAGGGTTAGGTTGTACCTGTCTTTAGTTGCTATTGGAAGAGTTGCGACAAGATAATCTGGAATTTTGAAGTTTCCAAGTTTATTTTATTTGAAAGATTGTAGAGCAAAAGAGGAATTGTCATGCTTATCTTTGGTATGCAGGCTTCATAACCTCTCACTCTCTTTCGAAATTCCATTTTATTTAGTTTCGCCCATTGTTTCACCTTAAGGGCACACGCTTTTTTATACTTATGGACCATATGCCGCTTTTCATGAAATGGCACTAACGTGTCACATTGAAGCTTTCATGATGACTGTCATATGAACACATCTGCAGATGTTTGAAATTTATATTGTACCAGTTCATGTTAATTGTTGATTTTTTCTTAAGGCGATACTAAGGGGCGTAGATGGTAGCTTGCAATTACAACTACCGTCCATAAACAGGCTAAATTAAACCGAACATGCCTGCAACATTTTCCCGTGTTGGGCTTTCTTTAGGGATTCAGTTTTACTCTGGTCACATTAGTGTTATTTGTTCCGTGTGACGACTGTAAAAGTGTCCCCGTATATTTAATCACAGATGTTATATTTTTGATCTTTGAAGATTTTTCAGCACGACATAATTGTTGTGAGTACATGTATTTGGTACTTTTAGTACTTTCTTTCCATTTTGGTGTTTTCTAGTCGGGACAGCTCATCTGTGATAAGCAGGTTGCTTCATAACTTCTAATCCCCTTTCTTAATTCCATTTTATTAGTTCCGCCGATTGTATTTTCGTTTAGGGCACACGCATTGTATTACTTGGCTTTTCATAGATTGGCACTAACGGTCACATTTAAGATACCATGATAATTGCCATATGAACACATCTGTGGATGTTTCAAAATTAAAATTGTACCAGTTCATGTTAAATATTGAAATCTTCTTAAGCCGATACTAGGGGGCGTAGACGGTAGCTTGCATAGACGGTAGCTTGCAATTACTACTGCCATCCATAAACAAGCTAATTCAAACCAAGCCTGCAACATTTTCAATTTTGCCTTGTGCTTTCTTTAGGGATCCTGTTTTTCTCCACTTTTTTGTACTTACAGAAGCAATACGAGCAGATTCCTTTTCGACTGTGTTTAGTTCGTCTATTTCAAATTTTGTAGTCTTTCAAAGACATTGTAAACAATCATATTACTAATATTTCTAATCTTAAAGTCCAAATTAATGAAAAAGAACTCAAACTTCCTATTATGTATTGGATTCCTAAATTACATAAAAAACCTTACAAAGCCAGATTTATTGCTAATTCTACATCTTGCACTACAAGTAAACTTTCTATTTTATTGACGTCTTGTTTGACTGCCATTAAAACACATGTAATTAGATATTGTGATAAAGTCTATGAAAACACAGGCAAACATCTCTTTTGGTCAATTAAAAATTCTGGTGAAATCTTGGATAAATTCAAAATTAATAACTTTCAAGCTTCAACTGTCAGTACATACGATTTTTCTACACTTTATACAACTTTGCCACATAAATTAATCAATGATAAACTCATTTCCCTAATTCAGAAAACTTTTGCACGGGAAAAAGTTACCTTTCTAGCATGTAATTCGAACAAAGCTTTTTTTACTAACGGTATTGTTAAACATTATACCATGTGGACCTGTGACGAAGTTTGTAGATCACTCTCTTTTCTTTTAGACAACATTTATGTCAGGTTTGGTAATACCCTATTTAAACAGATCATAGGAATTCCTATGGGTACTAATTGTGCACCCCTGGTCGCCGATTTGTTTTTGTACTGCTATGAAAGAGACTTTATGTTGAGTCTCTCGGAAGAGAAACAACAAGATGTTATAGTCGCATTTAATAATACTTCCAGATACCTTGATGATATTTTTAATTTAGATAATCCTTATTTTGATCAAATGGTGTCTGACATTTATCCGCATGAACTACAACTTAATAAAACGAACTCTTGAAATTTTAGTACATCATTTTTGGATCTTCATATTACTATCAACAATAATTCTATTCACACGAAAATTTATGATAAAAGAGATGACTTTGACTTTTGTATAGTTAATTATCCACATTTGGATGGAGACGTACCCCATGCAACATCCTACGGGGTTTATGTTTCTCAGTTAATTAGATTCGCTAGAGCTTGTAACAACGTAAAGGATTTCAACGAGCGGAATATTTTTATTACCAGCAAGCTTCTAAAAACAGGGCTACCGCTATCATAAATTACGGAAATATTTTACTAAATTTTACAATCGTAACTTTGATTTAATTTCTAAATTCAATAGTGATTTAAAAACTCTTCTGCGACAAGGGATTAGCCAGCCTGGATTTTTATGGCGATGTGGTTTACAAACTTCGTAAGATTTTGGGTCATGGTAATTTTTCTGCTGTTTTTACTAAAATTATTAAACGTTTTATTAAAAGAGGTTATGACCCTACTATTTTAAGACATACTGCATGTTTAGTGTTCAACCCTTTTACAGTTGGACACTACGCTTTCCTCTTTTGATTGCATCTGACGGACCAAGTGGGAGACTCTATGATGGATAGTTCGTAAAGCCCTTTGGGACTGAATTGTCTTAATGTTCGTCTTCTGCCTTGCTTCGTCGGGCCCTTGTAGGTGATTTTCTTGTTGCTCTGTCTTCCTTTAGGACATTGAGTACTTTTGTTATGGTCATTGGGTTTACTTTTATATGTTTCTACATGATCATTTTAGTGTTTTACTTATTTAACCTTTTGTAACCATGACAACTGTTAGAATTTCACTTGGCGGGGATTCATTTTATTTACACTGTCTCGTTTATAGGAACATGGTGGGGCTAAGAGCGAGGTTTGGTGCACCATTAACCGGTTTAAACTCCCCAGCAGTCATTATTATGCTGCTGACCGTTCCAAGGCGGCGCCCCACTGTGTTCCTCAGATGTATGTCTATGTTGTTTCATACTGTTTTGGTGACACTTTTGCTTGTGTCCCTTGTTGTTTCTCGTCTACGGTAAGTATCTTCCCCATTGCCTCTCTAGTTTTTATTTCTTTGATTAACCCCCCCCCCCTTCCCCCGGTCTCCTGTCCCCTTCCCCTTTGTGGGCCTATTATTATTTTCTTTGAATTCCTAATCAGTTACAAATTATTTATCATTTATTGATTAACGTGTCGTTGCCCTGTCCTTTTTATGTTTGGGGTCCGCCTGGGCTCCTTGCCATTGGTTCTTGTTGCTGGGTCATATGGGGGTTGCGTTCATTGAACGCCGCCTTTCCTTGTTGATCTTGTT